GACTAATCGGCTTTAAGGAGACTTGTGAGTTAACTAATATCAATTAATTACTCCCATTTTGCAGATAAGCAAACAAAAGAATTTAAAAAAGCGAAGCATTCTGGTCTAAATTAATGGAAGGGAAATCAGAGCCCAAGCCCACTCCTTGACCTGGGTCCAGAATAATCAAAGGCACTGGGGAGAGGACCTTGGCATCCCCAGGTCCCTGCCTTGTGCTCAAGAAGCAGCATCAGCCCTGCCCCACCAGCCCTCCAGCTCACTGAGGATGCACAGGCAGCCTTGAGATCTTTATTTTACTTGTGCTCTCATGCTAAAGCTGCAGGGATTAGAAATGCTACAGTACAAGCCAGCTTTTTATTACTCAAGAGACAGTTTTAGCCCAGCTGCCCAAATGCAGTTACCCCAGAGGCATCAGCACCACTCCAGCATGCTCACAAGGGAGACATGATCCAAACCAGGCTGTACCTAAGATTAGGTGACCATGACCAGCAAGAACACAGGCACTGACACATCCCTTCTGTCCATAAACAAAAGCATTCAGCTCTGGATTCTTCTGACCTCTAATTAGAGTACATTCAGTCAAACAACCCTGCCAGAATTAACAGGGAAAAGGGAGGGGAATAGAATAAAAAAAGACTTTGTCGAGCAAAAGTACTCTTAGACACATTTGATGTAATAGTCATATGATTAACAAACTGTCATATCAAAGTTTTCTGCGAAGTAGGAACACTTTGACAGTTCATATTTTAAAAACTGACATTTTGATTCATTACTGTAAATAGCACTCTGTATTAAATATTGTGACAAGGCATACAGTGTATTTTTTGAGCTCTATAACATTTAGGAAGTACTGAATTTTTTTTAGCCTTTTTTTTTAAGCACGTAGAATATCAAAAGCAGTTAAAGCAGAACTCCAAGAAAGCTTCTAGAGGAGAGAATCATGATTTCTGAAATAACCTACTTCTCTGCCGTCATCTCAAGCACTGTTGGGAACTTGGGCCCACAAGGATCTTAATGTACTGTTTGCATAATAAAATAAGGAATTGTTTCACAGAACAAAAGAGCTATAAGGAAAGTGGCTACATTAAATAATGTAAAATTACTCTCTAGCAAATCATCCTGAAGCTGGCAAAGAGGGAGAGCACTAAAAGGTGCCGAATTACTACTCAGAATATCTGAGTGCCAGTTCATAACCAAGATGAACCACACAAGGTCCAAATGACTGCCCAGATGTGCATCTTGCTCACCTCCCCAGTCTTCAGCCATGTGCTTGGCCCCCTCCTGCAGCCCAGCCATGCCCATCCCAGACAGAGGCAGCCCTCCCTCACTGCTGGGGTGGGCAGGAAGGGCTGCCCCATCCTTGGAGCTACCAAGGACATCATGGACAGAGGTCCACAGCAGGGCAGCTCCCACTGCAGGGATGCTGTGAGACACCAGAGCCCACCAGCCCAGACAACTTAATCCCCTTACAACTCCCTGCTTATGGATGCCTTTCTCTGGATCACCAGTACCAGGGCAAACAGGAGTGGGACCAGAAACAATACTGTCAATGTTCTGCATTTCCTGAAAAGCAAACTACTCAATGGAGAAATCAAAAATAACAGCCCAAGCTACCACAAAGATCTTGCTAGAGCAGCAGAGGAAAACCAGAGGCTGCCTAGCTGTTTGCAAGAAGCTCAGGTGTTATGAGGACCGCAGTCCAGTGCTTTGGAAAGAAAAATGGTTACCATTATCACTGCTTGCAGCCAGCTGCAAGTGGATCTCTGGGCTCTGTCTCCTGACAGAATGGATACACTGCCATAAACATGAGCCCAGAGCCTTCTCCAGGACATGATGAGGCTGTCACACACCCCAAAGATGGATCACAGCACTGTTTCAGCAGGAGCTCGTTCCAGCCCAGCCTGCCTTTCCCCAGGAGCAGCTACACACTCCTCACACGCTGGAAATCTTGTGGATGTGTCTGCATGCCAGCAAGTGTGGCAGTAGTAGTGGTCTAGCCAGACATCCAAAACATATTGGCACCGCTATAATTTGTCCATTCACCAATATGTTTTCCTAAAAACGCCCATATGCTTTTCCTGCAGTTCCCATATGCTTTTGCAAAGAGAAACAAAAACATTTTGTTAGTCGCGAGCGATTGATCGCCACATATTTCACAGAAGTCAAGTAGAAAAACAAAAACAACAACAAAAAAAAGCAGTCAGCTGCTTCCCCCTCCTCCTCCTCCTCCTCTCTGTTCATGGAGGGAACTGTGAAGAGCAGGAAAAAATTCAGCCCACAGCAAAATACACACACCGCTCATTTTTTTTGCGCTGCAAGATATTCTAGGAATTACAGGAGGAATCTTCATTAAAAACAAGCTATCAAGGATCTGGCAGCCAGTGGCATTCCAGACAGCAATTCAGCATCGGGTGCTCGGTGCTCGCTCGGGTCCTCGCCGCAGGCAGCGCAGCCCACAGGAATCCACGCTCCTGGAGATGCACTTTAAACAAGCCAGAGGGTGGGAGGACAGGGTGGTAAAGAGGTTACAGCCCTTCCAACTCACAGGACAGCTCGTGTGAGGCTTGGTCTATCTCCCTGTGTAGGTATAAAGGCCCTTCTCACACGCAGGGCTTCCCAGGGAGGTGCTGCCTTGCACACAAATCCCAAAGCGGGCGAGGGGACCGGGCAGGCTCGGTTCAGCTGGGAGCAGGCACGTGGGTGTACAAGTATGTGTGTGTCAAGGCTGGAGCGTGTGGGAACCATAGCTGTGTAGTTAAAGACTCATTAAAAGCAGCAGACCCAGGGCCAATGTTCAAAGAGGAGCAATGCAAAACATTTCTCTGGAGAAAGATTAGCGTGTGTTCTCCTTTACACAAATAAAATTAAAGAGAGACTCATAATATAGACAAATCAATTAACTTCTGAAAAGCCAAGGGCACTGCATGCAAGAGCAGACAAGAGGGGAAAAGCTTTGTTACAGGGCCACCAAGGCAGTGCATAGGCTTTCTTCCCCAGAAAAGAAACTCAGCTATTGCTGCATGCAGTTCTGATCTTAGTCCCAGCTGCATCACACTCATTGTTACAGGGACACAGCTGCTTCCTTCCCAACAGCCATACATATACCTATATATCACTGTGACCTTATGCACCAAGGGCTGGGGATCATCTTTGCAGAGACTGTGCTAAATACCTAAGGGCAGAGGTCAAAAGACTACAGGAGTGCTTAAATCAACAGTTCCAGTCTAAAAAGAAAGAGTTGGAAGCTGACTGTCTATATAAGATACCCTGAACAGCACACAGCCTTCTATCACAATAAAACTTGCCGTGATGCAGTCCCATGTTCAGTTCTCCCACAAATTTAACGAGGAATGCTCTTTGCAAAGCTGGTGTTTTCTTGCAATGATCTAATCTCACACTAAACCTAATGAGAGACCAGATGCAACAGGTAAAGAGCCCAATTTTTCACAGAAATGAAGCTGAAAACCCAGTCAAGAGAAGAGAAATCAATCTCTTGCACAGGACACAGAGTAAAAAACCAATTTGTCAGACACAGCTTGCTCCACAAAATACATTTCATGATATGTTTTTGTCTTGAGAGGAGTTGTAAGCACTTGAAAATCTGACTTCACCACTCACAAATGCATTGATGTTGTTGTTCAAGTGCTGACTAGAAAACAAAACTGTCTCATTTAGTTAACATAAGGACATCTTAAGTTAATTTAACAATGGGCTTCTTCCTAGATTTCATATTTATAGCAACCCACTGGGATGGTTTATTAAACCTAGCCAGGAGAGCCACCACAGAAAGAGTGAGACTAGCAGAAGAGCTACCATTAATCTTCCATAGCCCAGCAACTGGGAAGATCAGGCCTTGAACCAGATTCTGTGCTCTTGCTATTAATCTCCTGCCCTCTACTTATTAATCCCTGGTCTGTCTTTGTCTGTCAGCATTTATTAATGGCAGCAACTGCTTGCAGTAAACAGGATACTGAAATCTCATCTCCACCTAGACATAATTTACCCACAAAAAAAACCCCAAAAACCACAAAAATTAGACTCAAGAAGAGGGTAAAGGCAGAAAGCAGGGACGTACATTGTGTATCAAAAGAGAAGAATGAGAGTGCAATTAAATTCAGTGACACAACAGAGTGAAGATTCACTGCTCCTGATTTTGGCCCGTCTCATGCTCCTAAAGTCAGGTAACATCATGGCAAACAAAGAAGCTCCACTGGTCACAACCACCAGGGTAGTTGGTCTCTCATTCTCTGCTTCTCAGCAGGGCTGCACAAGCTGCTTCCTTCCGCCCGTTGCCATGACTTTGCAGCACCTCCAGCACCTTTGTCTCCTGGGGCAGCACAACTGAGAGAGGCTTGAGGACAGACCCACTGCCCTGACACTGGTCCTGCCCTGCAATCAAACCATTCCATCATGGCATGGGCACAAAGGGCAGTTTGTGTCCTACACATAATCCACCAAGGGACTCCTCCAATACTTTGGGCTGGTTCATCACCGTGATCGTTAGGTCACAGCTAAATACCTCCAGTGAATTTGACAGAATTGGGAATTCTGAAGAATGAATTCATTTGCTCCTCACATTAATTTTTATTTGTCCACTGAAACAGTTAGACTCAGCTAACAATGCAGCCAGCCCTCCATCACCAGCTGGGAACATCCACAGCCTGCACAGAGCCACATCATGGATGGGGAATGAGTTCAGGTCCACAAGCAGGAAAGCTCTGTTCAAGGAAGAAGTCAAAGCAACACAACCCACAGCACCAAGCAATTGTTCCCAGGCAACACTCCCAATCTGCAGGAGGGCCTGCATGTTTGCTAATTCCAAACTTGGACCCAGAAACAGTAAAACCACCTCAAGCCTCCTGGGCAGGCTGGCATCCCACCATCCCAGGCTTTGGAGAAATGCCTATCAGCTGTTGAGGACCCAACATGGTACTGAGGTCTTCCCACTGTCCCTAAACTCAGCAGCTGGCAAAAGCTCTGGGAGCTGATCCATTCCTCACCTGGAAGCAAGGCAGCCCCGTCAGGCACCCAGTCAGACGTACAGACAGGCACTTCCGAGGGACTTCTGTGGGTGCAAACAGAAAGGTCAGAATCAATGTTTTGCTCACTGTAAAAGCAGAAAGTAAATCAAGCTGGCTGTAATGCCTCGCCAAGAAAACAGCCCCAAAAGGGCATGCAAGGCCAGCTGCCCTCCTGTACAGAGCAGACCACAGCCTTTTTTCCTCTCCTCTGACACAAGTAATGTGTCAGTCTGTCCCTGTTTTGACCCATATAGGGGTTTTTCACTCGTTGGCAGCACAGATTACATCTGAGCAAGTGTTGGGGTAGCTGAGGTTTATTTGGAAGAGAAGCTACTTGTTTTAAATCACTGCAGAGCTGGTGAAAGGCACTGACGTAAGGGCTGCAGGTAACAAAGTCCCTTTGAAAGCCTGACCAGACGCCCTTCTGCCTCTCATGCTTAAAGGGCCTCTTCTTCCCAAGCCTCAGCCACCGCTCAAGGCCAGGCATGAGTCACTCCCACAGCACTGGCTCTGCCATGCGAGCATCAAGGAGCACCAAAGCAGAGATGGGATGCATTAAACACACAGCCATTGTGAAAAAAGAGTCAGGGTGGGACAGCCCAAACCCTACCTCCACCTTCAGCCCTGGTTTCCTTTCTGGGTGCCTCCAAAGACACCCAATTAAAGAGAAAACACAGTTTTTTCAAGTTACCACAAGCTTTTTTCAACCAGCAGTCTTTAATACTTCCAGCTTATTGACATCCGAGCTTACTCTGATGTTTTCTATTTCCTTTAATCTCAGTCCTGGAGAAGAAATGAGCAAGTTTAAAAGGTACTAGTGTCAACTAGCAAAAGGTTCACCTCGACATACCCCTGGTCTCCCAGCCCACCATGCTCCTGGTGTCACCAGCTGACCCCCAGCCCCTCCTAACTGCATCCTCACCCCTATTTTCCTGAGATCAGCCAAGGATCAGAAGTCATTAAAGAGAAGGGGAGACACTTCTAGCCAGTTGCATGTATTGCTTTTTTAATGAAGTCAGGCTTAAACTTATTAGCCCCACCATCAGCTGTCTTGCTCAGGAGAACCAGGACTGCCAGGGCAGCAGCTTTGCCCTCCTGGTCTGTGGTGAAGGAAGGGCAGCAGAATTTCAGCAGTTGCTTCAGATCCACACCGAAGTGCAAAAAGCAGAGAAAAATCTGCTGAGAACCTGCCCACACAGACACTGGATATTCTTTTCATATTTGCCATGACAAAAAATTCACGTTAACATTTTTGCAAGCACTGTAAGCCTGTATCAAGTATCAGCAAAGAAGCAGACAGGTGTCCTGACCACAGAGGAGACAGCATATGCAAACAGTTAGGAATTTATTACTATTGTTTTTTAAAGGGAGAAGCAAATCCCAGAGATTTTTCTGTGCATGATACATTTTCTGCTCCCTGTTTGATGTTGCTTTCAGACTTCAGACTTCAAATAGCTAACACTAACCTATGTCTCAAGCCTGCTTTAAACTGATGCCCCTTATGTGACCAGAAATGAATGCATGGTGAATCACTTATGCCACACACAGTGAGGGTGATGAGCAGTGGTCCATGTCTCCTGACTGCTGCATGGGCACGGGTAAGCTGGGGCACAGGAGATCCCAGCTCTCTGTACATCAGAGCCAGATAACTCAGCATAGAGCCTCTGCAGTTTTGGAGCTGAGAGCACAAGCTCCAGGTCAACAGCCCAACCACAAGTCAGAGAGAACCACCCAAGCACTGGCATTTTCTGCAAAATGTGGAGGGAGATACATAACCTGCACAGGCTGCACTTCCACTCTCTCTTGCCTGCCTTTAGGAGATGTTTAGGAGAAGCTGCATTTTAATTAGCAGCCCCAGCCAAGGGAATCTGATCTTGACAGTAAGTGAAAGGGAGCAACCCAAAGTTACAGACTTCAGGCTGTGTGGGTCTCAGCTCTTTGCTCCTCTGTGGACATTACTGCTTCCAGAAACTAAATCAAAACCCCACTTAACTTCACAGAGGTTGCAATTTGCATCTAAAGTACTGCCTAAGCCTCAGCTGTAATAAACAAATACAGCTCCACTGAAAACTAAGGAGTCATTCTGAGTTTGTCTGGTTACAGATCTGCAGACCCATAAACATTACAGCTCATCCAACCTCCAGCTAAGTATCTTCTAATAGAAGACCATTATCCTTGTCAGATGGATTGGGATAACTTGTTTAAAGCTCTCTTGAATAGTCATTAGGATTGTTAGGTTTTGGTGGTTATATTTTAAGAATAAACCCCAGCAGCTATTAAACACTGGAACAAAGCATGTTAACAGTCCACAAACAGAGCTGGAGTGGAAATATAACTATGGTTTGGGATTTTCATTGGGAAATTGGTGAAATGGAGAGAAGAAAGAAGATACAAAACCTAAACTGAGCTGTGCATATACACTGAGAAATCAACCACATTATTTGACAGGTAATGAATGAAAAAGAAACACAGGGAAGAAGGAAGCAAAATCATGCCATTCTGTCCTCCTTCTGAGCCTTATTAGTATTTTGGGTATAGTGCATAGACAAGATGCTGTGCAGCCAAGGAAATACAGATACTTTTTGCTGGCTGTCCCTAAGAGCTGACCTCAGGGCGGACTCCACTCCCTGGAGCCTCCCTCACCTCCTGGTAATAAACCATCCCAGTGGCAAACCTGGCTGTACTCCCCAGGAGCAGAGCAGCACTCCTGACCAGTTTTACAGATCTCTGCCCAGGGATGAACACCACTACACCCATGCCATGGGCACACCGTTGTCTTCTTTAAACCATCTCACCAAATGAACTGGTTCCCTCCAGCAAAAGGCCACTCCATCTGCTGCAACCAGTCTCCTATTCAGACTGCTGCTTTGTCACAGCTTTGCTGATAAAGGAGAATTCTGTTTTGTTTGGGTTTTTTCCGTTCTCCTGACCAAATTATATTGCCAAGAATCAATTAGCAGCCAAGCCTAAGACAGGGAGAAATGGAGGAGTCTTGCTTCATGTTTTACAGAAAATACACAAACACCCCGGTCCCTGCCATGGGATGTGCCAATTATGAAAGGTCATCAACATCTCACCACAAAGAAGTCCATTTTAGCAGCTCCTCAGCCTGTGAGTCTTCTGAAGGGACAGCCCTGACCAGGACAACTCTGGGTCAGCCAGGTAGAGGGGCAGTGGGGAACATTTGAGCTATTTCCTCATCTGACTTTAATTTTATTCATTTATCACTCAAGCCAGGGAAGTACTCTGATCCACACATGTCCAGACTTGGATCTGAAGATGTGCTAAGAGTGTAACAAGGGCACTGTAGTGCCAGCCCCTATCTCACAGCCTTTGGGCTGTAGGATGGCAGCAGATGGGGGCCACACATCCCAGCTGCTTTTCTGGGCTGGCAAGTCACCACACCTGCAGGTATGGCTGTCACACCCACACAGGGGCCTGCACCAACCACAGCTCTCTCCTGGCTCAAAAGGGAAAGGGCAGGGAGTTACACAGACACTCCACACACACCCACCATCACCCAGTGTGTGCACAGGGGTGCTGGGAGACAGGCTTATTTAGAGCTCCACAATTGCACTCCATCGTAATTCCCTCCTTCTCTTCCAGTCCTGGATACAGCCTTAAAAATCCATAGCTCCAGACAGCTAGCCCACACACTGCTATTCCAGCTCAGCAGGGAGAGCATAAACTCAATTTTGCCAGTCAAACTGGAAGGAATAAAAAAAATAGTAGTAGTATTCTGTTAAAACCAAAGAAACACACCCCCATCAAACCAAAGACAAAACAGAAGAAATTATATGGAGAAACAGTCCTTGCTATTGCTTCCATGGCCAAGAGTTGCTTGGGTAGCTCAGGGGCAGGAGGAGAGCCACTGCCTGCCACTGTCAATGCAGCATGGCACTGTCCTCCTGTACCAAAGCACCACTGAACCCTGACAGCAGCTCGTCTTGGAGAGGGTGTTTGGACATGCTGCTCATGGCTCTCCAGCCCTGTCTGCTGAGCTGGATCTGCAGAGACAAACATCTGGGACAACAACCACACACGCTCCTCTGGCACTACAAATCAATAGCTACAAGTACACAGGAACACCCAGCACATCCAGTACCCAAGGAGGAAGTGGCTGCCAGCCCCTCACCCAAGCCCCTGCCACACACACTGGGCAGGTTTGCTCCCTGCTTGACAAGGACCTTCTTTCCACCAGCCAATGTTGGAGCTTCCCAGAGAGACCAAAGAGAAAGTCAGGCATAGCTCAAATAAGCACCTGGATCTACAAACAACAGATTAAATTCTCAAGCTACAAAACTATGTTTTAGCAAAAGTGCAATTGAACTCCATGTACTTGTTACATTTCTAAATATACTCTGGTTGTCAAGACAACAAAGAGACTGATGGATCTCTAAAGTGTACTGTATCCATTTAATTGTCAGCATTTCAAACTGACTCAAGGAGGGAAAAAAAACTGCTGCGTGATAAGTCTAATTGTCATGGTTACCACTGGCTAACCCCATAATAAAAATATATATATATTCTGGCTAAATGTGCCAAGCCATGTGAGGAGCAGATGGGAGACATTCTCATTACTGCAACAGCCTCCACTGGAAAACTAAACTTGAGGAAAGATGCGAGAGACTTTACAGAGATCTCAGACACAACAGACACCGTGGGCTGCATCTTCCCAGGCGTTTGGCAGCCGTTCCTTGGGCTTTTCCGCTGTGCTTATCCTCCCCAAGCGTGTTGGGACAGCCCATAGGGCTGGGGCTGCCTCACTTGTGAACATTCTGGTTTGGGGAATTTCATCCCTCACCAAAGAAAGCCTGGTATGTGAATTGCTACTCCTTAAAAGCCTCTGACAAGATCTGATGAGCAACCACCTGGGCTTTGCACTCCCACCCTCACCCCCTTGCACTCTTCTCTCCTGATGGCAACACCCGAGCCCACAGGAATGGCTGTGCCAGGAGGCTGCTTCAGCCTGGATCTTCTGCTCCCACACTGTTAACACAGCTAAACCAAGGACTATGTCCAGGCTTGGGGATGACAAAACAAG